CACGCTCCCTCCCTTCTCTCTCACTATGACAGCCTTAGGAATTGACACCTGTCTAATTTCTGAACACAAGTAGTGGTGTGAGTTTACACAGCACGGTACGCTACAATTTTGTAGACCCAGACCTAAAATTATAACTTCAAACGGTCACTAAATAAGTCAAAAGATTTTCTGTATAATTTCTGAATGCCACAAACAATGGTCTGGATTCACACAGCATGCTTAAACTCTGGTGGGTTTGCCAATATTTTTACTACTGGTTTGGGCGTGCGCGTGATGCTTCTGCCATGTGCAAAAGCATCCGAGCGGGTGGGCAGAGCCCCCCACCGTTGCTACCCCGGTTCTCCGATCCAGGCCGAATCGGCAGCAACCCATCTCTGATGCTAAAGCTCTCATTTTGCAAACCCAGGCCTGAAATTTTAAATTCATTTCATAAATGATTGGTCAACAACACCATTATGAGTGAAGTGGACTCTTCAAATAACAGCCACTGTGGATTTATTAGTTTCGGATTAATGTATAAGGCAGAGACAATAAGGGAAGGGGTTGTGTTACTCCAAGGGAAAACTGCACAAGGTAAATATTTCCTTGATTCAACTGATATGCTCTGGGTGTGAAAACACACTGTGACACTAGTTGCAGAACAAGCTTGGCCAAAAGCAAATATGAATCAAACACATTATGCGAACTAGACAAGAGAATATAGAATGAGGGGGTCCAGGAGAAAATTAAATCATTTTCAATGGCGAAAACTGGTGGAGAAAAATGATTTTAAAGGCAGCTTAGGAGACCACAACTCTTTAAACATACTTTTTACCCCCTCCTCCCCACCAATACACCTACAAGAAACATGACGTCATTTCGGTTTCCAGTAAGCCAAACTCGTTAATATAGTCTCAAAAGAGCAAACGGCGGTTAGCTAAGTTTTACACAAGCAGCCTCTTTGCAAAAAGATCGTGGTTTTAAAGTGGCTTATTTGACCAAAGTCCTGAAAACTAGGCTTGTGTCAGAAAATTACACCTGCCACCGATCAGCCAGAAGGGAATTTAGACTGCTATCAATTAATAGGCCACTATTTGTCAAGAGGAACTAAAGAGCCTCCTGATGGGGGTGAAGGAGGAGAGTGCAAAAGTTGGCTTGAAACTCAACATTACGAAAAATTAAGATCATGGCATCCGGCCCTCTCAATTCCTGGCAAATAGATGGGGAAAGAAATGGAGGAAGTGACAGATTTTATTTTCCTGGGCTCCAAAATCACCGCAGATAGGGACTGCAGCCAAGAAATTAAAAGATGCTTCCTCCTAGGAGAAAAGCTATGGCAAATCTAGACAGAATACTAAAAAATACTAAAAAGCAGAGCCATCACCAAAAGTGTATCTAGTCAAGGTTATGGTTTCCCCAGTTGCAATGTATGGCTGTGAAAGTTGGACCATAAGGAAGGCTGAGCGCCAAAGAATGG